AGTGGTGTGCAGATCTTTATATGGGGGCACTCTTTGGGTGTGACTGGCTTCATGGAAAGGCAGGGCAGCTGAGAATCCTCTCTTCTTAATCCTCCATTTGGGATAGGCACTCGGTATGAAGATGACGATACCTATGCACCACCCCTAGATGACAGCCAGTTCTCAGTTCAACTCCTTGCACCAACTGGAACAAACTCCAAGCTGCTCCGTCCTTTCCCAGCAGATACAGATCCCAAGGTGTTACCCCAAAAGCCTCTGGGGGTGTTCTTGATGTGCCTTCACTGCCATTGCCCTTCCACAGTGTTTTGGACCTACTTCCCGGGTAGGTGATCTGCTGTGGCACAGAAACAGTGAAGAAGTCATAACAAACAAATAATACTAAATAATTCATAAATAATCTCTTCTTGCATGAAGGTTCATGTTCCTGGGGAAAAGTACACAAAACCCAGGCCAGGAATAATTCGCTGGATTCCAGCAACACTCTGACTCCGCCATCCTTTTGTGTAGTCAGTGACTCCCCCTTCTCCTTCCATAACAATCTTGTGTATAATGAAAACAGGGCTTCCTCTGAAAACCTTTTGTTTTCCAAAAAAATGCAAAATATTCCAGGGAGAGCCTCCAAAATCAATTTGCTATCTGATTCCAAACAGAGCTAAACAGCATCTCTGGTTTTCCCCACTGCCAAATATTTGTGGTGACACTGAGGATCTGCCCAAAATGTCAGCAGGAATATCAGCAAAACATTTTCCGCATGTTTCACAAATTTGCCAGCATTTCTCAGACCGTTTGGTGAAATTCTGCAGACACGATGGAGTCATTTTGTAAAAAGTCTTTTAATTTTACTAGTTAAAAAATAACATTCTGTGATGCCCCATCACCTTCTGGATTTTTCTTTTTTTTCTTCCCAAGCTTGAAAAGATCATTAAATAGTATTTGTTTCCTTCAGCTGATTAACAGTTGGCCCAGCTTTAATGATAAACAAAAACCTACATGTAACCACTGAAGTCCAAATTCAGGAACAATTAGCATCTCCAACCAGACAGATGGGGAAATGGACAAATAAATGTAACCGAGCCAAGCAGCTGAAAAGAACAATGTATTTACAATGGAGAAAAGCAATTTAATTTAAGGTAGAATCATGGTTTCATGGTGTGGTGTGGTTTGTCACATTCACTATTATACTTGTAGCTTGCAACTGTATGATGGCAAAGTTGGCATAATGGGGTTAGAAAGGACCTTAAGGGTCAGTTACTCCAACCTCCTCCATAGGAGCAGGATTTACTGTACCCAAACTGATATAGTTCAAATGTCCTTTTTTTCATGTTGAGCCAATGTGCAAAGCATCATGCTATTAGGCTTCCCATTGTACTTGGGTTAAATTCACAATATAACCACCATTACAATTTACAGAAAAGAAGCAGCAGCAGTTGTATCTGATCCTAATCTTGCAAACACATTTTTTGAGTCATTTGGATTCAGCAAAGCAGCCAGACCCTGGCTAACAAAGTTCTGAGATCCCTGGGGATTTTTCCCAAAGTAAAATCCACCACCTTGAAATTAGGCTGGTAGACTCCTTTAAAAGCATGCCATGAGTTAGGTGCCTCTGAATGGGACCCACAAAAGCCACAGCACTGGCAGCTACTAAGTTGGCCAACAGGGGTATTTTGAGTTGAGGGTGCATCTTATCTCTCTTTCATCATAAGGTCCTTAGGTTTTCTTTATCCAGTGTCCAACACATGTTCACACTCATTCTCTCTGTACCAGCAGAGGAAATAAGGCAGAGTTCAGGTGTCTCTTGGGAACAGTTTGAATGGCAGAGTTTAGGTGGGAGTCGAGTGCCTTGATGCACCTAGGCAGACAAAACTCTTGTGGTAGAGGCAATATCTTTTAGTAGACCAACTAGATAGTTGCAAAAAACAACTTTTTTTTTTATTTGCCAGTTTTCAGGCCCAAACAGCCTTCATCAAAGATTGTAAAGCTTCTCCCAGATAGAAAGGAAACTTCATACGGCACAGGAGAACTAAAAAGCTAGTACGGTTCTCCTGGGCAGGCAAGTTCATTTGTAAAGAGGCTGTTCTGCGAATATGCAAATTAGGCTCAAATGAAGGCTGTAGCAGTTCGTTTACCTCAGGTGTCTGATGGGAGATAGGTTGCTGAATTTTGCTTCCTTCTCGTTGTTCGTGTTGCACAGGAAAATTAAAAGGTGATATGGCGCTCCTGGGTGGTAAAGTTCATTTGTAAAAAAGCTGCTCTGCGAGTATGCAAATTAGGCTCAAACACAGGCTGGAGCCAGTTGTTTACTTTGAGGTGACCAATGGCAGGCAGGATGCTGGATTTTGCTTCTTTGTTCTTATGGCATGAAGTATCATTTCACAGCGGCTAATTACACCATCTTCTGTGTTTCGGGGATATTTGTCGTAGCCGTGTTGGTCTAGAGGCATAGGCAGACAAAACTCTTGAGGTAGAGGTGATATCTTTTATTGGACCAATTAGATAGTTGCAAATATATGTGTGAGTGTATGTGTGTGTATATATATGTGTGTGTGTGTGTGTGTGTGTGTGTGTATATATGTATATGTATATATATGTATATGTGTATATATATACACATACACACATACATACATATATACACATATATTTGCAAGCTTTTGGGCCCAAACACCCTTCATCAGGGAAACGAGAACTCAAAGATAGTAAAATTTCTCCCAGGTAGATACAAAACTTCATGTTGCACAGGAAAACTAAGTGCACCTAAGTGTTCTGCAAACACATTTGGGAAGATGCAGAAGCCCTAGCACAGATACCTGGCAGCTCATGGTGAAGATGCCTAATGAACTGGGGCAGTCCCATGAGCTCTGGGGCTTGTGGCGAGGGCCACTTGGGATTGAGCTCCCAAAACTCCACCTATGCCACCAAAAGAGGCACTCTACATCCTGTCCTTTGTGTTTCTATAGATTCACATTCACTGTTTTGAAGTTCTCTTATCAAAAGCTGTGGAATGATTTTAATGACGCAGCAACCAGTAACGTATTTATGTAGCGAAATGTCTGCTTTTTCGTATTTTCACGCACTGGGAATAAAGTAATGCAAACTGTGATTATTGCAATTCCCAAAGTTAGTAATGATGCGGTTCTCGACAACAGTACTGGGATATGCAAATAATGACTTTTTTTTCCCTTTTGATACAATTTCATTATTTGTATTGCTACTAGTGGTTCACCAATAAAGGCGAACATCACATTAGGATTCATGACAGTTTTCACATTGTATTATCAATATGTGGAAATAATTGTCTGCTCTGAGATTAAATTACATTATTGTGTATCTTTTTCATGCCTAATAAATAATGATGGATGGCTTTTATTTTCATCACCACCTGCAACCATTTAGTCACCCCTTGATTGTTGAAGATAAAATAATAAAAGGCAAGTGTTATGTTGCAAGCCAAAGAATGCAGTCAAAACAGTTGCATGTTTCGTGTTTCTGTCTGCCTTATTCTCGTCCCTGAAGAGTAATAGATGGTGGTCTGTGAAAGCAAGCAACCTGCAAACTGGCAAACAGTTCACATAAATTGAGCAAGGGGAAAAAAAAGTGGAAAAATTATTTTTTCTGGTGGAACAATTGTTATTTCTTCTTGCATGATTCATAATCTGAAAATTAGGTTTTTGTTCTGCTGTGCAAATCAGTTACATGCAATTAGAATGCAAAGCAGAGACGCATCTTAGTATTTAGCCTTTTTAAAATAGAAATGAAAACAGCCCTCTACATTGTAGCGAAGCTTAAAATGCATCTTGGTAATTTTGAAGTCCAAAGAAATAAAACCATGCATAATAAAAAAGCCCACTCTACCTCACTCCAATTTTTTTTTTTTAAATTGCCAATTGTGGGGCTTTGTAGTAAAAATACATGTTGCATATTTTGGAAGCCCTAAATAATTGAGTTTTTTGCTACTGTTTGTATGTGTTCTCTCTCACTCTCGCTCTTACACACACACACACACACACACACACACACACACACTTTGTTTCACTTCTATGCACTATTGCCTTTGCTGCTAATCTGGTTTTCCCTTGGAATTGTTGCAAACTTCTTCCTTTTCATACTGATCCTGAGACTCTCTTTTAAATCCAAAACAAATGGATTTGACATTCTTAGTAAAAGCTTACATTAGCTATTGTCACAAGTCTTTAATCAACCTCGCTCTTCTCAGATTTGTATATCATTAGCATACCATGCTATGTTGGTGCTGTTCTATGCGGAATGCAATAATAGCCTTTAAAAAAAATAATAAGGCAACATCTAGAATAGAAAGTTATCATTGGATAATTTCATTACCAGTGAGTGTATCAAAGCAAGCTGAAGACAAATTCTTCCTCTTCAAAAAGAAGAAAAAAAACCCCCTCAGTTATGAGTCAAAGGTTTATTCTTTGTGTGCAGTTTCACATGCTTGGCTCTATTATCTTTAAATCACAAGATGACAATCTTCTCAGGCATACCAGAGAGTCAACCAAAATCCAACTGTAATAGATAATCCTATCAAATGTCAAGTTACTGGGGAGAAGTGGTTTGAAAAATAGGCCAACAGTCCATTACTTGATTTACCTCAAAAGGATGTTAACGTTTCTACAGCCTGTCTTCAACAGGGTACACTTTTTGTGCTTTGCCAAATTGTTTAAAAGCCTTTGTTTCCCAAATATAGGGCCACCTTTTCTTGCTCAGAAATTTATGATTTTACAAAAGGTATCTATTGTTTTAAAATATACTACAGTTTTCACTATATAACCAGGGCATTGTGCTTAAAATAATTAATCTGGTTTTCCAGATTTAGGGGAAATATTCAACAGCTGGTTACCAAAAGCAGATTCCCCAAAGCTCATAGGAGGTGTAGGTTTCAACAGCCTTTTCAACTAGTCCAGGGGTGGGCAAAATGCAGCCCAGGGGCCGGATGCGGCCCACCAGGCCATTCTGTCCAGCCCACCGGGCCCCTAAAAAATTTAGACAATTAATATTTATCTGCCCTGGACTGCCTATCATGCGGCCCTCGATGGCTTGCCAAAACTTAGTAAGTGGCTCTCTGCCCAAGATAATTACCGGCCCCTGAACTAGTCTGATAAGTAACTGTGTTGTATAACTAGACCATTCCTGGAGCAGTGAAAGCTCCCCTACCTGAGAAAGCTGCCCCTAAACATCATAAAAAATGGATCTACAGGGCATCACTGAGTGTGGTGTGTGGTTAGGTGCCACGCACTTTGAAGAAACCAGATCTTTGCATGAGCTGCCTACATCACAGATTAAAATGCATGCAGCAATACAGCTCTAAGAGGCCCCAAGAAACTGTAGCTTGTGCCTTGATGAAGAAAATGAAGCCAGTCTGGAAACGCTCCTGGCCTGTCTCACTGGTAAACAGGAAGTCCTAGCCCGATATCCTCCAGGGACTCTTCTCCAGTCTGTTCCCATTTCATTCAGCCAAAGCATCATCGACACCACCTACATAAAACAAAGAGAAGAGAAAAATCATGAGCAGAAACATCACCCTCTGTAAAAACTTTCCCCTTCATTACAGCAAATCCTTGCAGTGCGCTCAGCTGGTTTACTCGTACGTAGTCCCCATCCTCATCTTGTTGCATTAATGGGCAGTCTTGCTTTTCTAGGGTTTTTTTTTTGTTTTTTGGGGGGTGGTTTTTTGGTTTTTTTAGCGAAAAATAAGACAAACCTGCACAAATGTTAAGTTTCCAGTTAAAACTGGAATGTAAGTGTGCTTATTCTCTTTCTCATGTAGACACGCTATGGACAGAGCAAAGTAACATACCCCAGGGCATTTGAGCTGGGACGCTGAGATCCTTGCCAGTCGTGAAGGTAGCAAAACAAGAGTAGTGGGGGGGGATTATGGTTTACAGGACTTTTACAGCCTCCTTTCAAAAAAAGAGTTAAATCTGCAAGCGAAAAATAAACTCTCCCCAAATTCAGAACGCCGCCAGAGGCAATCACTAACCTTTAAATACATGTGCTACATTCAAGCCATCATCAATAGAGAGGTAATTTTAAGACTCAGTTCATTAACACTGAGCTGTTGACGGAGCTGTAAACACGCCAGCCCATTGTAGTTTCTAGCCTGTTGCCAGTCATTCTTCTCTTGTTAGTTGACCTGCCAGTGGCTTTTGAAAGCAAAAAAAAAAAAAAAAAAAAA